TTTTTCAAAGCAAATATATTGCTCTGTTTCACATCGGGCGTATGCCAGAAGCATATATCGATAGAGCTCTGATAAAATTCCTGAAAAACATTCGATGCATAAAGCTTGCTACGTTTCCTGTGTACTATAAACTAACTCATATGTTTCAGCAAGCAATGAAATGTACACTACTGGTAGGTACACAACTTAAATTAACTGCTATTAATATTTCTTTGTAGCCAAGCTAGGCCAAAGGCAAAAAATAATCATCTTCTCTCATACTTATTAGCCTGATTGGCTAAAATCATCAACGGAGCTCGAACTGGCCAAAAATTATCAAGCACAATAATTGTTGCATACACAAATGAATTATAAATATCGAAAACAAAATAATATCTAATACCTGACCTTAACACGTTTAGAATGTACACATTCAACGTCTCCATATATTGCACATGTAAGTAACTTAAGAGACGCTCATCTTCAGACTTCATCGAAGTGCCTAGGTAATTAAATATCTATCTATTGTAACGTGACTGATAGTGTTGTCTTACACAGCGGATCGATTATCTGCGGTAGGGGCAAGTGCAAGTTGAGGTCAAACCCCCAAATGTCCATCTTACCGCAATTAGGAGTCAGCATACCCACTTAGCATCATCCTGAACGATCAACGCTTGTCTCAATGAAACATTGAACTAAATACCGTTTGTCCTATGAACTGTAGCAGCATGAAATTATTCATTCTGTTTACCTCGGTAGTAAATAGCCTTACTTCAACGTTTGAAGAGTTCAATAAGTATGTTTCATCCCTTCGTTCTAGCGATATATTCCAAACTCTGAAGAACCGACGCTTATTGTCACAGAAAATTTAATCCCTATAACTACAGCTATATATATGACGAAATCATGCGTGTAACAATTTCCTACTTATATAGTCTCTAGATCTGGGTGTCGCTAGCTGATTTAGCCAAAAACGTTGGTATACGTGTGCGTCTGACTAGCCTCAGAATCAGAATCAAGTGTGGCGTACGTCTGAGGCAATGTTGCATGTTGGAACCAAACCTACCTACCTACCTACAGAGGTAAGTCAGAGGAAATCAGAGAAGTAGTCGAGATCCTGCAAATATGAAAAACTTTTACATGATTTAAATTATATCCTTTGATAGTTTGAAACTTCACCACGTTTCTTCAGTTCACTTCATTCGCTTAGGCACAAATAGGATGGAAGATTTTTGAGGTTAGATGTAGCGATTGAAGTAACTGAACGGCGCATCGCAGTAGCCACAAGAACATTAAATACAGTAGTTTTTTCTTAGTTGAATAAATTGAAGCCACACGACTCGGCTCTAAGGGGTTTTGGTGCAGATGCCCGTAAAGCTACTTGTATGAAGTTCATAGTTCCTTCAGTTAATCAAATAGTAGCAGGTCAGTAGTGCGGCTTGAATCAGTTTCTAGTCTGAACAAGCTTGTGAGCGACTCCTACATCAGATAACGCTGTTGTTGTCTGCTAGAGACAAAGAATACTGAATTAACTTTACGACTGTTACAACCCGAATGTAACTGTGGAGCGCTTCTCAATTAATCTGGCTACTCAAGTAAGTATAACCCAGTTATATAAATACAAACAAGTGAGTTCGTTGTGAATTGACAACTAGGACATTTCAATTTAATTACATTCGAGCTTCTTGATGGCTGAATGTCAAATTGAGATGTACCTGCAGAGTACACAACGGTTTCAAATATAAAAAGCAAAATCTATTTCTTTCGATTTCCTGCATTGTAAGTCAATAGACCGAGTTATCTCAATGGTAAACTGTTTCACGCCAATAGTGTCATAGTTTTAGGTGGCCTTCAAGTCTCGTGACCACCTATGTCCGACCGGCTTGTTTGGACTCACTGTACATAGTGGAAATTTGTCACCACACTAAGGCGATGTCCTCTTATTCTGTGTCTCGCTTAGCGATCGCCAGCAGTTTCAACGTCCCTCGTTATCGGCCAAACTCAAACCGTGCCATGGCTCTTCGATACACGCTTATGGACTTTCCTTGCTTGGTCGCCATGGACGTACCTAAAGACGCGGTGAAGTTTCAGAATAAGTTATTTATCATATTGGAGGTATTATATTGTAGCTCACATACCCGTGGCAATAGACTTCAGGGCCTAAATGGCACCTGCGCGAAGTTCGAGCGCCAAACTCCGTCATGACGTCCAGATGTAAACAAACTTTTGAAACATGCTTGCGAAGTTCTCTCAGTAGTCACGTAATGAACGCCGAGACGGATGCGTAACTTCTTGCCGAAACTTTTCAGTGGTTTGCGCAGCCCCTTGTTTTCTTCAGGAAACATAGACCCTTGTTTCAATGTGCTCGCTACTGTACCCAGGCTAGGGACTATATCGCAGGAGAGGTCCTGGCTAAGGCATAAGCCAGGTTGCATCTTTGGGCTCCGTTTTCGAGGCTATCTGGTAAAACACATACGTGTCACAGAGCAGAGGTACTTTAAACAACTGCAAGGCTGTCTGTTGCCGATACAGATCCTCAGCTATCAAATGGCTATCGCATTGCGACAGCTTGCCCAAGTGAGTTATTACTAGAATGTATTCTCGTCACGGAATACGGTAGCACACCTTTTTCGCCACAGCGTAAGCGAAGGGAACCTCAAGGAAACGTCATATCCTTCTATATATGACTTCACAGTATGGAAACACATGCAAGGCGTTGGGAACCTACGCAATACCAAAGCGGCCAATCCAGATAAGGTTTGCAGCGAGCATTGCGCCTTTGTTTTGGAACTGTACCAGACGGCACTGTTTAATGAATGTTTACCTGCTGATACAATCTTAACCTAGTGAGAAGATTCCGCTTTAAAATACAAGAGATCTATTTAGATGTACTAGTGGTCTCTAAAGGAAAAGAGGATGCAACCATGTTTGCATCATGACGGAAAATTATCGAGAAAAACTTCTCTCCAGCTTGCTGACAAAGAGGGTAAACAGGTACACGCCATCCCAACGGAGCAGTAATACGGGAAGAACGTTCTACAGAAACGGCACGCATGGTCCTGATGGCCGACGTCCGAAGAACACTGGCCAAGTCGAAAGGTTCATTGTGTCTGGTGTTCATCGATTTCAGGGCAACCTTTGGCTCGGCGCCCAGGGATAAAATCACGTTCACGATGCCGAGGTGAGTATCCTTATAAAATTGCTTAACCTTTCCCTACGATTCCTTTAAAGAACAGAATAATCATCTATAATGGAGTGGCTGAACTTGCGCCTCCCCACAGATTATTGGACTGGCACAGAAGGACAAGCTAAGCCTATTTCGTTCTCCATTTTGCTGAAGAGACCTCCTCGAACAACAAAGCTAGTCGGAGTCATCCTGTATACAGATGACAGTAACAGCCGGGTCGAACAGGTTCCCAGAGAAGAAGAAGTTCTAGGCTGGTCCTCTGCGGCAATCGCACAGTTCGGACCGGTGATAGAATGATGAAGCTTAAGAGGAGAGGCAGGGCAGCGGCCAGTGACACCTTGTGCTTGGCCAGATCGTTTTCCGCTTATGTTTATTGATTTCCTTACCTTAAGCTTGTCGATCTTCGTTGACAGCAAGAGTTTTACCCTGCGCGCTTCCAGGAAACGCAGAAAAACGGTTTCGGCAATATGGGCCATCAAATCGCTTCATCGTTTGCCTTTTGAAATTGCTCTCAGTTAGCTCAGCCTCGCAGCAACTCCAGTTGCAACGTATGGGATACGCGTAGGCACAGAAAATCTCAGCGCGAAGAATCGCCCGAACAATTAAATCGCATCAAGGCCTATCTTCTAATTAAAGCACGGAGACTACCCATAACATTTTGATATGTAGTGATATCTCTCGAACATGGTTGATCAGCTGGTTGTCGTCGTTCTTGCGGTTCCTTCTTTTATTCAGCGCACAGAACTCAAATCGCAAAAGAAAGACAAAGAAGGTGGCGAAAATTGCTGAACGTTTATATCGCTAGTGTATGTATGTATGACAAAGGTAAATGATTGTGCCACAGCAACCGATCTAGTCATCCAGCTATTTAAGTCAACAATACCTTAGGCAAATTAGTGAAAGAAGTGGCTGTACACCCTAACGCAAAAAATTGTCAATAATGGAAACCTAAGTGCTCTATGGGTTGCCGAATAGTAACCGTGGCAGAAAGAGGACTATGGCGGGTAGTTGACTTGTACTCAAACTTACGTTCTAAGGGCTCTAATTTAAACTTTCAAAAATCGTCAAGGTATGCTTTTACGCTCACACAACAGCTGACGTTAGCTGATTCCTTCGGTTTTACACTTGTACTTAGAATAAGATACAAGTCAAGTAACCGTGACAGTTTGTTCCTGTGAAAAGATCTTTCGTCATGCTCCTCACACGTTTACAGAATTCTTTGCTTACGATCGCAGCAGACCTATTTGCCCGCTAGTTTATAAGACGCTGCGTTTCCTCCGATTGCTGACTGACCAATGTAGTAATCTAATTGCCCTACATTTGTCAGGGCATTTTACATTCATCGTATAATCTACTTCTCAAAGCTACTATCAATTTTTGTTTGCCTTTTCCTTGACTATATACTTCGTGTCCTATAGTGGGCAGCCGAACGCTTAAGAAGGACTGATTTTGACTATTTCTTCAATTTCGTAGTTCATCTAATTTTTTTTTTTTCGATTTTTTGCAGACTTGTAAAGGCTGCTAATTGAGAAAATAGATTTTTCATGTTTATCATTCAGTAAATTTTGCAGCCGCACTATAGTCGAATAGTTTTGGCAGCCGCTATAAGTACATAGATCCCAATAGTATATTTTGACAACTATTGGGCTGTTAGCAGCGTATATTTTAAGATCGCCACTGGCCAGCATCGTGCCGTGTGTGAGATATGGTATGAGTAGACCATTGGAATAAAACATTTTCTTCTAATAAGTGCACGCAATGGGCTCAGTAACTTCATATCAGACAAACTAGGAAAAACGCTAGCTGAATTATTTATCTACTACTTCGAACTCACGTTAAGCGATGCGTCCGTCGCGTTCGCGTTACGCCAATCCATAGCGGCGGCAGAGGCGGTAGTAGGCGCGACCTAGTCAGATGCCAACAGGTCGTTCCCGGGTACCGAATCTCACGATTTTCACTCCAAACAATTGCACTAATCTTCCCTTAACTGCAATTTATGATCTGATACTCATGCGTGAACTACAAAATTAACTGAGTACGCCTTCACGATGTAGCCGTGCTATTACGTCAGCTTTCACGGTACGGGGACGGAAGAGACAGAGAAGGGACTTCTACAACAACAGAATCTCGCCTGCTCCACAACTCAAGTATCGTAATTCGGAGCCGTAGGTGTCATATAGTCAATCACTGATCGAAATACAAATTATCTAAATTGTCATCCACTTGTTTTTGTTGGAATGTCGTTAGACTCCATTTACTCTGAATTTAATGTCACAGTAACGTCACCATACATGAGTCTTCCAAATCATTTGAGTTTCATGTTCAGTACTACCGATAGGCGTCGTTTCATGTGGCAGACCCCTGCCAGCACGAAACGAAGTATGTCCACGCCTGACTTTAAAGTTAGACTACCTCACATGTCCCTAAAAGAGCAACTACTATATTATCACTAGAGCCTCCTTTATCAAAGACAACAAATTTTTTGTTATGCGGGCACAGCAAATTAAACCTGCTTTAGTTCCGCTACTGGCAACAACGGCGGCAACAACAACAGCGATACGTATTAGATAGAGATGACGTAACAAGTGTTAGAAATAGACGACTCGCATGTATTCGACATCTTTCTGCTCGAGCTAAGTCGATAGATGGGGTGGAGAGTGCCAGGGACCCCAGTGGAGAGTTATTTAGCAAAAGGCCGAATGTATTATTTCGGAGCGCGTCGTGAGTGCTCTCTCTCTCCTCTGTCGCGACCCTTTCCTTCTGACATCACTTGCCTGTGAGGGAAGGTAAGCGACTGACCATTTTCACAAAGGACAGATCGCGCCCTTCAGGCTGGAAATTGTTGCCGTCTTTCTTTATTTATAATGATGGGAAAAATAGCCTTCTTCCACATTCCGAAACGAAATTAAGTAGAGTACGTATTTGCCTGTCTTATCTCTACCGTCTTCGTTCGTTGTGAATGTGCTAGGTCATAGCAGACCGTACGTTTCAAGCATGAAGATGGTAAACGAAATTACTCTATCTGTTTCGAAAGGCAATATTAGGGAAGTTCCCTTTGTGCTGCATCGTCGTTCATCAACAACGGTATCTCTCTCAACTAATTAGTTATATACTTAATATTTTTATACTATGTAAAAAAAATGTTTCCGAAGGAAACTTGCGAAGAAAGAAATTTTCCAGATATACAATTAGGTAGTTGGTCGCTGATCTTTAATGAATTACTTAGGGGTGTTATAAAAAGGTAACTATCGTACAGGGAAATTATACGTAAAAGTAATTTTCATCACGTACATCCATATTTTGTTATTTGTATACACTTTTATGTATTTAATGTTGCGTTTTCGTGACGATACTTTTTTGTTTGGTGGTAGATGTTTATTGTCATTGAAATGGTGCTAAATCTAGACAAATGTTTAACTTCAGTGTACAATTGCATCGCAAATAAACCGTTTATACTTATATAACCGTTATATACTTGGGTGCTCAATAATGAAAATAACAACGAAGGTCGACGCCTTTCAAGTAACGTTAACCTTACTTCTAAGTATTTAGGCAGCCCATCTCTATTTGTACCTAGTAAACCGATTTGACCCAGCGGTGACCTGCTCGACTTGATCTAGCCGGTGAGTGCTTACATAAATCATGAACATTTTTTGGGGCGATTCAGAGTTCTATATTTTAGTTTAATTAATTTAATTTACTCTCAATTAATATTTCTGTTTAATTAATTTATAATTATTTCTGTTTTTAATAAAAGCGGTCTAACATCGTTCTCCAGGGCTGATTGAGTTCTTTAACTAGCTACTCATTATGGTATGAATACTTTTTCGGTACCTTTTTCGGTATGAAACGTGAGCTATCCAACTAATATTTCGTACTATAAACTATAAAGGCTTTGTGTCTTCAATCAAATTATTATAAGTTTCTGCTTCTCGGATAGTAACTTCTAGATATTAGGGTGCCTATTATTAATTGATTGTTTAAGCAAGACAGGAACGTTCCCTCCAGCCGCAATAATTTCATTAGATTCAATAAATATATATGTATAGATGTGAAAATGTTTCAAACACAGTTACTTCGCGTATCAATCTATCTGGCGATTTGAAGTCTCGAAGTTTTGCAGATCCACTGAGAACTTATTCAATTTATTAGTTGTAAGGAGTGCCGTTAACGAATCGTGTTCAACACCAGAAATTATTAGACATAATTCATTGTACAGTTGAAGTACCTTGTCCTTTTCGTTCTGTAAAGCTAAATGTTGAAGAAGCCAATCATGCACCCTGAGGAGCAATTAACTCGATTTGTTTAGAGCGCCTGCAGGTATACGTTGATATCGCTCGGTGCTCAAAAAAAACAAGTAACATAAAAACTGTATTTGTAAAGGGATTCCTCGATTAGAAACGATTAGCTTTGATCTGTCCATTGAGCTTAAATCTAAGTCTGGCCATGGATCGTTGAACCTGGAAAAGCGCGACAACCATGTTCGCCATTCGGTCTATGAGCACAATGAACCGACGGAAAATCACGCTCATGAGAGTCGCAGTCCTTATATGTTACACATACAGATGAAGAGCATATAAGAATACCTTTAGTTTCATATTTGGGGCGTGATTTTTGTAAAACAGAAAATTACTAAGAAAATAAATATACAGTTCAATGTGAACAGCTGATGACACACCGCCTTCCTCACTATTACAGCCAAGATAAAAGGATCAACGATCTAACAAAGGTACGGTATGTGTTATAAATAGGCCAGACGATCACAAAAGCCATATGTTAGGCCTTTTTTCGAAAGCTAGGGGCCCCAAAATGGCTGCATCGGAAAGTACCAATGCTTCGTGTAGAAAGTCTCGTTCATCCATGTAGCATACGATATTTTTACAAATCATACTTTTGAACAGGCGCCTGATTCAGATACGATCATCATTATAAACCTGGTACCCTTGTATGCGGCACGAGCGACATGTATGTAAGCGTCGTTCCGTGTTAGGCTTGCTCAATAATTAGGTTGAGCTATTGGCTATGTTACGAAAATCAAATGAAAAGATCTGCGTCCACTACGTTAAGCATAAAAATAAGATGTCGTTTGGCATTTCTGTGCTTCGCGGTCTTTTTCAGATTAAAAACTATTAACTAAGCTTTTTTTTTGTAGAAAAACACTGTCCTATTTATCTTGCTAGCATCCATTAGCGAATGCACGAATGTCTACCCAACAAGCGAGTGGCAACACAGATCTCTTTTATCATGTTTGTATTACTGATATCGAACGGCTAAAAATGACTCAGAACTTATAGATACGTCTAGTATGAGATTTCAGTGACGGAAACCCCTGAAAATCCTTTCTAGCCAAACGATACGAACACGGTGCCTACCTAATATAAATGTAACACACCCACGATGTTTCGATATGTACATATTTTATCGTAACTTCATATCGCACGTGTGCACCTCGTTGTATTGCTATATTCATTTGGTACTTTTAGATAATTTAGACTTGTTGTATATATGTCTATATAAATGTATTTGGTGGTATGTCATAAAATTCGACTTTTGGCGTTCATTCATGTTATAAAATAATACATGGCTTCCCTGAAACAAGATGGATAATTAAAAATATCCGCGTTTCACATTAATTCCTTGATAATAATGATGTGATGTTTATGAGCAATTTTGAGGAACGAGATCTGTTCCAGATTGAAGTAGCGGGCTAACTATTAGGTGTTATGCTTCGGAGGTAACGGTGACAATTTCATTGCGATGGGGTGCAGGATTATATCTTTGCATGGCTACGGGTTAATTTAGGTACAATAGAAGACTGTCTGACTTGTGGCGACTAAAGCGTTGCAGTAACGGAATTACCCCAAAAAATGTGATCGAATGGCTAAGGTTAAGTAATATCGTAGCGCAACAAAGTCACGGAATAACTCGAACCCATTGAATAACGGGTTCGCTAAAAGCTGTAAGTCAGTATATATGTGCCTAGCGTTTCGACAAAAGTTCAAGTGATTTTTGCTATTTTCTCTGTAAGCTTGACGAGAAAACAGTCATAAAATTACTCAGGACAATAACCGCAAAGTTGAAGCGGTTAGGAGTTTTTTTTTTTTAATTTTTTTTCAGAAAGCGAACATGTGGCGTACTTTCCTTTTACCCAACCAGTATTCGCGTCAAAAACGATAGAATCTGCCATTTTTTTTAAATTTTATAGAAATTTACATTTTCCGTCTCTCACACAGTTTCTTAACCCTCAGCGTCAGCCTTGACTTGATGCAGACAAGGCTGCTCCGCTCCTGGGCCCCAGTTAAACCCTAGTCATCTCTGGCTGGACTGGCCGGTTATTCCAGTTTGGTGTTGAGGTTGACGCACTTTTTCTTTCCCAATAGATATCATGGCTTATGTAACATAGCTCAGGGCTATGCTTTCATTCTCTTACGAAACCTCTCCTAATGGCGGCAATAATCATCAACGCTAGGTCAACTGCATTTTTTGGTATGAGTAATTTGAACAGTCCGTCATAAGTAGGATTTTACGAGACTGATTCTAACGTAGAGCTTCACGGCATTCTTGCCGAATGTCGAATATTTCGGTTACTTATAGTTCGCCGAAGATGCGGAGTAATTCTTCTTCTTACTTAAAGAGTATCCGGGTTCACTTAGTACTAGCTGATTCAGCTGAGAGTTCCTTACATGCAGAAGGATAGCCACCTTTTCCCGTTTTGCTCTCTTTACGCGTGCTCGACGTGATCGTTTAAGTTTAGAACTAGTTGTCTGCGCTCCCTTTTCGTACATTTTGCTTGTCAACTTATAGATAATGAAAGCTTCGAATGCCTTATTCATTGATCTGAGAAGGTACAGATACCTGCCAGGCTTTACTATGAGCCTCGTTTTACTCGTGTTGTCAGATGTTTCCTAGTGATTTGCCAGTAAACGCTTTACAACCTCCGATGATATTTTCTCCCACCCTGCCGCCTGCCCTACCAGTATTCTTCAACTCAGCATCACGATTTCCTTTAGCTTTGTCCTAAATTTCACTCACTGACAGCTCTGATTTCTCGGAAACATTTTTTCTGCTGTCTCCGTAATCTGTTAATTTGGGCGGCCCTCCGCCTAGGCCTCTTCCACTTACTATTTTGTAGCTTTCCTCAATACATTTCAATCCATTTCTTCTGATTGTTCCGCTTTAGCTCTTTGCGAAGGTTGACCCTGGCTTCTTGAACTTCACTGAGGTGCTCTACTGAAACCTCCCTTCAGCTAGCGTACATATTCTTCTGCCAGCTCGTTCGTACAAAACGTACGGTCTATATAGGTCTTCTGCCAAGAAGATTGTATATCCGTCATCGATGAAAGAAACGTCATCTTTGCTTGACTTAAAGATTAGGTTCATGTCGAGCTTTTGCTTTATTGTACTGTTCTTTGGGAAATTAAATACTTGTCATTGTCGATCGAAGTTGCATTGCACTGAAGCACTTTTACCATTGTTGGCAGTCAAAGCGCATTGGTAATAAAAGCCTGTTTCCATACAACTTACTGGTTTGGTATATTAGGCTACGGCAATCGAAATAACCAAGAGATATTATTTCGAGTTTCACATCTGGTATCACTGTCCGGCATTCT